TTCCATTTTTTTATAACAGTTAACATTTTTAAGTAAGTTGTAAAATTTTAATATTTAATTTTTTAGTTAAATTATATATGGAATGTTAATTTCGTTTTTAATATAATTTGGAAACATTGACATTTTATAAAAATGATACTTTACATTTAGTATATCTAAAAAGACAATAATGTTTTTTTAATATTACGTTTTTATTTTTTATTTCCATTTTTTTATAACAGTTAACATTTTTAAGTAATTTTTAAAATGTTAGTATTTATTTTGTTATCTAAGTTATATATGGAATATTAATTTCGTTTTTAATATAATTTGGAAACAATGACATTTTATAAAAATAATAAACTAATATAATGATGTGTCATTATAGGATTGGAGGACTTAAATCCTACGTGGACGTCCTCAATGGCTTATAGTCTCAACTTTTATATAGTATAGATTTGCCTTGGTTTATGTAAAACGTCAGTTATATTGAAACAATAATTTTGTTACAAAACGTCATTTAAATAATAACGGAGTGGATTAATATACTTTTACTTAATGTATAAATAAATATTAAAAACTAAATAATTTAAATAAATTTTTATTAGTTATTCAAAAGAGTAATAAATAAATTTAATGTACAAAATTACATTGGAATAGTAGAATGATACTTATTTTAAAGTAAAAAAAAATTAAAGTGACATTTAATATGAAACAGAGGGAATAGTTTATTATTTCGGTTAATAACACATTTAGAGAAGATAAAAGAAAGAAAAATGAAAATATGATGTTTTCAAGATTCACTACATGAGACTAACATTAAATAAATTTAACACTGAATTATGAGTTGCCACCTTAACTTACCGACCAGATAGAAGAAATTCACATTGTTCAGGATTTAATGCCTTAAATGTTTAAACTATAAATATTGACTCTATTTTGTTAACTGCTACTAGTATAAACAATGACTAGATGTCAAAAAAAAAAAAAAAAAAATTTGACTAATAGTGGCATTTATGATCAATTATAATAGTTTCTCTTGTTTAATTAATTAATCCAAATATTACGGAGATCTACCACGTATAAACCAAATATTCTTTTGTGAAATCATTTTATTCAAATTTGTTATTTACAACATGACACAAGCCAATCTTTTTTTGACCTTTCGAGTTTTCAAATCCCAAAGAGAAATTCCTCTAAGGACTCTCGGTATACTTAACCGGCGAGTCTTCCTCTATGACGTTCTTCAAAACTCCAACCACCGAAGAATCACGGCTTGCTACATACTGTTGCACCACCAACACCGACGCCGACGTTGAAACACTTTCGCTTGACGTTAACAAATTCCCCACCGGTCCAAGCTCCGGGGTGTCGCTTCTCATCACATGTAACCCCGAAGCCACCGAACCTTCCGGTGACTTCCCCACCAAGAAAAGATTGCTTCTTGAATATTCATTAATAGCCTTGCAAATCTCCTCGTGACACTTCACAATCTTCTCTTCGTAAACAATTTGAAATTCCGAGATTTCTTGTTCTTTAATCTTCGCTTTAAGTTCGGTTATAGCTTCTATATCAACCAATCTAGTTTCCCCTGAACAAGAACCGGTTTGATGATCCTCGGTTATCTCCAGCTTCACGTTTTCCGGTTTAAACTCCTCACTAGGAATAAACCGGACCACGGTTAAACTTATACCAGGATGTTCCGCCATACGCACCGCAAACGCCAACGCCTCGCGATCATCATTCCCACCAAAAAACAAAACGGTTATAGCCAACGAGAAATCGCTAGACGCGACGCGAGTCGCGCCACCAAGACCACGATCAACAAGAATCGCGACAGAACACGGAGCTTCCTCCATAACCTTCTTGTTAATCAAACGGTACTCGTTCCTAGTCGTCTCCCACGTCCTATCCAACCTAACGTGCTTGTGAAACGGTAGAATCACCATAGCGGCGCGTTTGCGTTCAGCGCTTCGGCATATATCTTCATGGATAGTGGCCATAGCTGAGATGGCAGTCATTGGACGCACCGAGACACGGCTTAGTCTCTGGTAAGCCTCGAATGCGACCACCACCATGTCGGAACTGTTACCAGATTTGTCTTTGTTCCAGAATGGGAGACCGTTTTTTCGTACCTTGTGTGCCATTAGTATAGCTGATGATCTCTCGGAGAGCTCCATGAGATGCATCGCGTAGACGGATAGGCTTTCTTTACGGTTCGTGCCACGTGAGGCTTCGATGAGGTTGACTATCGTGGGAATATTCATTATGCTTTGGAAACAGAACATAAGACGGAACGGTTTATTGGACCGGTTCGTTTCCTCGATTGTCCGGTTATTGTAATCGCTTTTGGTTGAAGATTTTCCCGGTTTATACACCGCTAAAACCAGAGGAGTCGTCATGAAGGTTGTGAAAATCGCCATTAGTACCATTATAGCAAATATTTGATCGTTCAAAACCTGCGGAGAAAAGTAAAATAAAAAATCATGTTAAGAACAAATATCAGAAATAGCTTCTTTTTTTTTTTTAATTTTGTCACAAAAATAACATTCATAATAACAAACTCTAAATTATTTTTTAAGTCCTAAATTATAATCCTTACTTTTAATATTTTTTGAACAAAAGAGTTTTAGTGATATTTGAAGGTATGTTTCAAAGATTAATATAAGTGACTTACCCCTCTGTCTTTACCAATGTTGAGGACAATAAGCTCAACAAGACCTTTCGTGTTCATCAAGAAACCGAGTGCTAATGATTCATCAAGTGGAACTTTGCAGTAAAGAGAAACCACCACCGTGCCGACGATTTTACCAAAACAAGCATTGAATATAACCAAAACCAATAGTCCCCAAGACTGAGCTCCTTGTATGGTCGCCACATCTGTCTTCAAACCGCTCGACACAAAGTAAAGAGGCAAGAACAGGCCCGACACGAGATCCTCAAGTTTCTCAACCAAAGAGTTGGCGAAATTGCCTTCTTTAGGGAAGATAACACCGATCACAAACGCACCGAACAGCGCGTGTATCCCAATCAAGTCCGTGACAAAGCTAGCCGCAAGAACAATACCTAACGTGAGACACACGTATTGTTCTTTAACCGGTTCCCCTTCAGGACAACGTTTAGCTATCCACTTCATCCCCGGTTGCACGACAAAGATACAGAACACAACAAAACCGCAACCAGATAGAAACACCCATAAAGAAGTCAGCGGAGAGCTTCCTTCTCCGGAGAGAGCCACCGCGAGAGCTAGTAAAATCCAAGCCGCCACGTCGTTAACCGCAGCAGCTGACAAGGCAATCTTCCCAATATCAGTTGTGAGAAGCTTGATCTCAGCGAGGATACGAGCCAAGACGGGGAAAGCTGTGATGGAGAGAGCAACGCCCATGAAGACGAGGAAAGGAGCTTTGCTAGCTCCATCAGCAATGGTGCTACGCAGTGCAAATGAAGTTCCAATGCCGAAGATGAAAGGGAGAGTGATTCCAGCTAGAGCTATGGAGAGAGCTTTCTTCCCGGTACGCTTGAGAGATTTGGGGTCAAGCTCGAGACCAACGAGGAAGAGGAAGAAGATGAGTCCTAAGTTGGCAAGTGTGTCTAGAACAGTTAGACTCTTTGGTGGGAAAACTGTGTTGAGAAACTTTGAGCTTTTTCCAAGAGCTGATGGTCCAAGTAATATTCCACCCTGGTTAAAACACCAATCACAACAATATTAAACAAAAAACATAAAACTATAACACTAATTATAAAGTTAGGGTGGTTAATTAGTAAAAAAATTTCAAAAATACACACACAAAAATAATTATTTTAATGCAATCCACAGTTCGAATAGAAAACATAAAGTTATACTATAGGATATATCTGTTTTCATACAAAAAACATGTATTATTGTGTATATGAAAAGCCACCAAATGTAGTAAGAAAAGTATGCGTTTACGACTAATCAATGTTTATGAAAGAATATCTTCCACATTGATTGGAACGTGTGGAAAAGTGGAACTGTAAAGAAAAGCAACACACTCGGATTGCTTATCGTGTCAGCGAATTTCGTGGAAGAAAAATGAATATTCTGATGAAAATTCCTCGGAATATACGTCATTAACTATCATGGACGACTGATTCAAGATTATGATTGGTGTAAAAGTCGTAAACAATAATGTCAAGTCATTCAGATTTGGTTAACTCTAATAGAAAAATGAATTATTGATCAAATTGGTAACCGCTTTTGACTTTTAATTAATAAGAATCAAGATTTGGATCAAGATTACTAAAGAAACCAAGTGAACAGAAGAATAAAGAAACGTTACCACTATCTCGGCGATGACACGTGGTTGCCGGAGAGGACGGAGGAGAAAAGCAAGAACACGAGTGAGGAAAAGAACGATGCAGATCTGGAGTATGAGAAGAGGCAACGCGTGTTGCAGAGGATTCTCTCCCTGAAAGACTCCATTAGAGGTTGCTTTCATTGGTCCTGAACATGTTGTATCGTTCGTTCCCATACCTTTTAAGATCTGACAACTATTGTAACGATTACGAATTAGTATTCATTTTCTTGCACTATCTCCTAAACATACAAAAAAGAAGTTAAACTACGATGAATGTTCTAAGGAAAGAGAGGAACAGAAGAAACCCTAGCAGATGAAGAACATATTACGATTAAATATCTAGGTATTCTCGGAAAATAAAAACTAATAGAATGCACGAGATACGGATAGATACAGAGACGCGATACTTACGGATATTATCGATATCTGGAAACAAGACTGAGAAGTCTTCGTTATTATTTTTTTTTTCGTTTTAAAGCAGAAACGTGAGGGAGAAGTAGGAGTGAGAGGGGAGATGGAGTATACTGGCCGTTACTAGGGTTCTTTATATAGCCTCCAGTCTAAAGAGATATCAATAATATCCCTAACTGCGCGGGAAATTATTTCTTTTTTTTTGTATAATAATATATATAAAAAAACATTATTTCTAGGATAGGGCTGGCAACTAACAATATAGTTGATTTCTTTTGGAAATATATATGTATTCAATTCATCTTTGAGTATGGGATAATTTATTTAAATGGTTCATTCGTTCTATGTTATATTGAGGTTGATTGTAATGAGCTGTAGATTTATACTTTTTTGCTATAAAATTATAGCTGTAAATAATTTAGGTAAGATTTTGGCTATCAATTTAAAAAGATTTAATCATTTACATATAAATTTCTAAAACAAAAAATAAATGCTCTAGGTTTAGTGATTTCTACAGCTAAAACATATCCTTAAGGGATGATTGGTAGTTGTTATAGGTGATGTACACAGCTCTATTTGTTTCTACAACATTAAATTCAAAGCAATCAACTTAAAAAATTGTTTTGAAACCACAGCTTTTACAATGATCTACACCTATACAAGTGCTATGTAGAACCAAATATTCAAAGCAATTTTTAAGTGCTTTCCAAAAAATCTATAGCAATAAAATCTAAAAGTCACAGCAAAAAATCTACATATTTTTTTTACAACAAAAGCTTTAAAGTTACAGCTATTACCAATCGGACCCAAAAAGGAAAGAAAAATCTGTGGCTTTAAATTTTTTTTATAAACCATGATTGGAATTTTTTTTATTTAGAAATAATTTGGGCTATAGAAATATTCTACAACACTTCTAAAACACTTGCCAATCATCCCCATTATTTTGAACATTATTCTTTAGTTACAGTATAATCTCTTTAAATTAATAATCTATAAATTAATATCTCTATAAATTAATATAATTTCATAATCCCAAATTGAATTTTTGATTTAATTAATATCTCGATAAATTAATAATCTCTATAAATTAATAAAAAATTTAGTTTTGGTATAGTCCCATCATTATTAATTTATCGAGGTTTCACTATATATTGTTTTATGTATAGTAATGGATTTAAGTATTTAAACTTTATATATATATGTAAAATAGTTATATATTTTATTGTGTATATATGCTAAATTTATTATTTTTGTATAAATATGAACTTGACAATTGGTAGTGTTTAGTGTATTGATGAATAACCGTAATTCATTTTTATCCAAAAGTTATCTGTAAGTCTTATCTGTATGACTGTATCCAGAAGGCAAAATTTATTACAATCTTTTCTGTTTTTGGTATTAATATTTCAGAGCCATCTAAAGAGGAAAACAACTGTATTTTCATTGTTCTTTGCAAACAGATCTCAAATGTATTTGTGCCACTGTATCGTTGACGCCAGTATAAAACCCCTATATCTATCGACGTAATTGACCGAAAGTTTCTATCGACGTAAAATTGACCAAAAGTTTATTGACGTTAATCCTCATTAGACTTCTTCATAAACAGTTCTCAACTGTAGTCAGTCAACCTTTCTATCGCGTAGAGTTGACCAAGAGTTCCTTGATCGATTTTTTTTATTGATCGAGTTTTACCTTGCCCTTAGGCACAGAATCAATTCTCAACACACAAAATATATATGACTAAACTTTTAATTAAATTATCTGGCATTCTGGCTCAAAGAAAAACAACTATCCCCTTCACTTTACAAAAACGTCATACACTTTATCTTTTTCTTATTTGATTTTGAAAATATACCTATTACCACTAAGACGAAGTTAAAGGGAAATATTTACAACTACTAGAGGTATAAGAGAGTTTTAACTATTTTATTAATTAATGTGAAAATTTTAAAATAATAATGTTTTCTTAATCAGAAAAACATTGATTTATAATTAAAAAAAAATGCTTGGCCTAAAATTATATATATATGTGATGTTATGTGATGTTGACTTATTGACAGACCAAAGATCGGATCATATCGGTTCAGTAGTGTAAATTTATTCATAATGCAATAGTATACATATACTTTTTAACTCGCTACAATTATTGAATAGCTGATTAATAATTATAAAAGAATTACATTAAAAATAAGGAAATATATAACATGTTGCTTTTAGATATAGAAAAATATATGAGTTTCGAGTAAACTTTCTAATAGTCAAAAAGAAATATATTCGATTATTTTCATTACAATATGAGTATAATATTAATATATTATCCGTTCGACGATAGCTTAATTAAATAAATCCAATGATACTTGAAATGCCAGAATGCAAATTCAGTGTATTATCGTTTAATAAGTTAATGTTAATCCTCAGTTGATGACAATATATAAAAATGTTGGTCTGTTACTGGATCATTTAGAAAATTGATTAGATTCAACAGAAATAACGACAGTGGTATACAAATTATTTTTAAGTTATCGTGAGGTCTCAAATAAAACTCAGCGTTAATGATTACTAATGCTTAATGTTTACACATATCATCGTAAAATCACGAGGTGTCGAAAGAGTTTGGGATAGTCTTCAATTTCTACTATGACTCATGATATGATCATATGAATACGTAATAATTAACAATCAGCAAGCAATCAAGTAAAGTATGTTTAGATGTTTGAGTCTATAGTAGATAGCATGTACAAATAAAGTAATGGGTGTTTAAGTTTATAAAATAGAAAATTCGTGGTACCATGCTCTGATCTACCCATTGATTAATGTTGAAGTGTACCTTAGCACCTGTCTGCATTGTGTCTGTCATGTTTAAAGGATAAAATCTCTCGCAGAAATTAGATAAGAGTTTTATAATTTGGAATCATAAACAAGTAAACAACTATAATCAAATCAATAAATTACGAAGAGGAAAATACCAACCAAAAAACAGACTTGGAAACGTGGGGAAAGACTAAATACCAATGATACGTGGACCTATAACGTTTCGGCCATGCCAAAAGTTCATTTCATGGTTTTAGTTAAACAACTTTAAATTAATAGAATAATTAGTTGTCCAAAAAAATATTTAATAGAATAATTACTTACTAGTCCTATAAATCGCTCTCATCGGACAGAGTCAACCAATACCTTGATATTAAATTAAAACATTATGCCGACTTATATTAAAAGGGAAAAGTGTCATTTAAATCCCAAACTTACAAAACAAAGCCAAATAAATCTCAGACTCTCAAGTGATCCATTTAAATCATGAATTTTTTACAATAAGCCATTTAAAACTTGAACTTTAGTTGACCAGACTAATCTAAACTCATAGAAAGTCAACAGTTAAATTGTTTAACTTCCGTTAAGTCTATTACAGATCGTCTAACAGACTTGTTTAACTTCTTAAAACGATTACAAACTCATTCAAATACAAACAACAAACACAAAAAATGGTATTTGATTAGAAGTCATTATAAGCTTAGTAAGATTGAATGTCATTACAAACTAAGTAGACAAGAGAGAACAAACTACAACATTCCACAATATAAAAGAGTGCCACATGCATGAACAAACTGTACACCCAACATTTGGTAATGGCTTTGGAACTTTGAAGTTTGACTTTTGCAGACTTTATATATTCCACCCCCCTCCCCACTCTTTAACGACACATTTTAAGTTTTTAACACTTCGATCTCTTTATTGATATTTCAAATTTCGGATTCATGGACAGAGCCACACATTCACGACAGGACACCAATTATATGCTCACAACTCTAAAACAAAGGTGAGATGACAACATAATTTTCTGCAACTCTAGCTTCCTCCCTGTGGAGAGTTAATGGAGTGACAAGCCTCTGGATTATGTTCCGTAATCAAGACAAGGAGAGGTTTCTAAGTGTTTAGGAAATTAGGGTTCTTATGATATAGATTGGGGATTTAAGTTCTAATTGTCTACTAAACGATGGGTAATAAAACTTGACAGAAGTTAATTACATTTAACTGTTGACTTTCTATGGGTTCAAATTAGTCCGGTCAATGAGAATCTAAGCTTTAAATGGCCATATTTGAAAAGAGTGGGATTTAAAAGGATCACTTAAGAGTTTGGGATTTATTTGGCTTTGTTTTGTAAGTTTGGGACTTAAATGACATTTCTCCCTATATTAAAATATTAAAATCACATATTCAACTTTAAGTTTTTGATAAGAAATCAAACGGATAGCCTTATTTAATTAATGGCTCAAATGGTTGGAAGAGAAAGTACGTAGTTCATGTTTTCAGTTCTCTTGTTCTCTAGTGTGGATTTAGAACTCCAAGTACTTTTTACAGAGTTTCTCTCGTTTTCTTACGCTAAAGCACAATCAAATTTTGCAACCCAAACACAAAGACCGGAGACTTTTAAGGAAATTTACACAGAGCTGACGAAGTGTTTATCAATAATTATACGTCAATGAATTTGAACAAAGAAAAATATAATCGTCACGTCACAGTGATCATACATTCGTAGACTTTCCTACAAAACAGTGTTAGGTAATCATGTATGACGTAGTTTATACAAAGGCTCTTTTTCTTTTTGGTATTTCAGTTGGGGCCACCTGAGAAACATATACTTATCAAACATATGGTTAGATGCACATAGATTAGATTGCGGGTCCAATTAGTGTTTAGCAGAGTAGTAACAAATAGGAGACGAAAACAAAAACAAGAGTAGACAATCGTATGTAATACATAGCCTTGCAAGAAGAAAATATAAGAGAATAAATAATTAATTAAGAGGAAAATTTGAATTTGCGTAAAGAAAAATATATATTCTCGTTTTGTTCTTCTTTCTCCTTTTCCAGCAAAACTATGGTGAAAAACTTTTCCATCATTTTTCATTTCATTGGTAAAAAGAAGGGAGCCTATTTTAACATTTTACCGCAAAAATGAAGGGAACTTTAAATAATGAGTTTTACTCAATTCTTCTTTTGTTTGACTATTATAGACACCAATCACACTCTAGGTTATGGTACTTTCTAAAGCAACCATTTTTTATTTATCATTAGAAAGATATGAAAACATTCTGCATTTCTGTAAGTATCAATTTTTCAATCTTCCATATCAAGTTTGTATCTCTGATATATCAAATCCATTTATTACTTATTTGTCAAGTTTAAGATTTATAAATATTTAAATATTTTTAAGCAAAAGTGAATGAATAAAGTATAAATTTTTGTGTAAGTGAATAAAGTATCGCTTAGGAGAGGAAAAGTGAATGAATAAAGTATTTAAATTAAATATACTTAAATATTTTTAAGCAAAAAAAAAGTATAAATATTTGTGTGTTTTCAATAATAAAAACTCATCCACTTCAATAAAATATCTCAGGCTTAGAAACTGGTCTATATTAATTGTATAACAGTTTCAATTATTGAGCTAAGTTTTCTTTGTTAATAAAAGTAGGATAATTAGAGATAAGTTAACATTATTACCCATTATAAACGTGTAGAATTTTGAGACAACAAGTGCCGTTGACACAATCCACGGTTCCATCACAACAATTTTTTTTTGCTTTGGTCAATGAATCGCAAGAAACGTGGATAATAAAACTACATATTCGTTAACTTGGTACAAGATTGCTCAGTTACATACAGTTATGCACGATCGACCAACGTAAAGCAAACGAGGAAAAAGACAAGTTTACGAGTATTTAAGTAAATTATCGTAATGGGAATTGGGAACTCAATTACATCTACAATTTTACATGCACCATTCAGCATAAGCGAAGTTAAGATATATCATATCAAACGAACGCGACGCGAGTGATGAGAGGAATGATAAAAAAAAACTAACTTTATTATAAATATATATAAATTTTTTTACGTATTCTATGGGTACGCAAATGCAAATAAACATGTTCGATGTATACGTCGGCGGCCTATACACGTATAGCAAAATATTAGTCGATGACTCTATGTGACTTTAAAAAAGAAATAGAAAGTGGGTGGGCTTGCACTTGCACACTTCTTAAAAGCCCATAAAAGTAGAGAGAATAATGGGTTTGATAAGGCCCATGTTATTGTGAGGGAAATAATATCTGATCTCTCATCAATTTCAAGTTTTCAACGTAGCAAACCATTGATCAAATCCGTAGTCTTCTCTTTCTCTCCAGTTTTGCGGAAGCAGGTAGACTTCTTCTCTCTATCTCCCTAGATTTTTGGATTCATATATATATCAGTCCAAGTATCCGAGACGATGATGAAATTAGTCAAGATCGTATATAGTTTTCAAGGCATTTTGCCACAAGGATCGTTTCACATTTCAACCAGTTTGTAGCAATTCGGATCGTAGCTCTTTTCTTGTTGCGATTATGAATGCTGGAAAGATGTGCTTTTGACTCTTTATGATTTGATCCTAGTAACAGTTTTGCTATTCATATAATGCTTGGATCTGATCACCATCGTGACCTTGATCCAATGATTTGTATTCTGTTGTAGATAACCGTGTAATCAATGTTGGTTTAGATTCTGCTTTAGTAAACCAGAAACAAGCTCACGTTATAAGACCAATGTTCACACTCTAACATTTTGTGGTGTTCTTGAAAAATGAAACAGATTTTTTTTTTGAGTGATTCAAGGAAGCATGGAATCCACTGGTGACCATGGAGGGATTCAGTTACTGCTTGCTGCTGAACACGAAGCTCAACATATTGTCAATGCCGCTAGGACCGGTAATTATTTACGAGCATTAGACTGCAACTTAGAGCTAATTATGAATTTTAATTAAACAAAGTCTGAGTCGATATGGAAATGCAACTTGTGGTTGAGGATTAGATATATGTTTTGGTATTTGAAAGCAAAAATGGCAAGGCTGAAGCAAGCCAAGGAAGAGGCTGAAACAGAGGTTGCTGAGTACAAGACCAGTACTGAGCATGGTTTCCAGATGAAACTCGAAGCGGTAAAAACATTATCAATATGAAACTTGTTCTTAAGCAAAATCACAATTAATGTGTTTCAGTTTTATGTCTTGTTATTTATGAGAAAACTTGATTGTGATAACAGACCAGTGGAGATTCAGGGGCAAACGTGAAGAGGCTAGAGGAGGAGACTGATGCCAAGATCGAGCAATTGAAGAACGAAGCTTCCAGGATTTCCAGGGATGTTGTTGACATGCTTCTCAAACATGTCACCACGGTGAAAAACTGAGATATATCACAACAAAACCATCTACTGTAAAATGGTGTGAATTATTATTTTGAGTGGATTCGTTTCATTGGTCTCTCTCCGAAGACGTATCTGACTTCTTTTCTTTTGTAATAAAAATGTTTAAAAACAAAGAACCCCACTGTATTATTTTTTGTATCATCAAGGAGATTGCTTTAATAAAGTATATATTAAAGGGCATAAAAGGGCTCCAACGGTGTATAGGTCGAGCATGAATGTTTATGTGTTTGCCTTCTTGATTTGTACAGCACGGATGATGAGCGGGGGGAACCAAACTGTGATTCATTGCAAGACAAGTTTTGCAAGTGTGATTCATATCTTCTGAGCCAGTTAAGACAAATGGTAACTGAAACAGTTGAACTCCATAGGTTGCAATGTTTTGCAATCTCTCTTGTGGACTCGCTTGGAAATTCGCTTAAGAAACCATACTTATAAGCCTAAATAAGGTATTGTCTTCTAGAAACGGGGATGCTTTATGATATGGGTAAAAGGATCTCAAAACATGAAGAAATGGTAAAGGATGATGATGAACATTGATCAACAGTTACAGTAGGACGTAACCTTTATTCTAAAATGATATAACCAACAATACAATGGTTTTTAGAAAAGAAATTATGAGTTGAATAACATAAGAATTGTTCATTTAAACCACCAAATGCTACTAGAAGTACAAAAACTATTAAGACCATCTCCAATGATTTCTCTCAGTTTTTTCTTTTTAAATGAAGTTGTGATTCATTCCAATGGTTCTTTTCTTTTTTTCCTTCAATTATTATTATATTTATTTTTCAATTTCTTATTTATTGCAAATAACACTTTTTATTCAAAAGATTTTAGATTTTAGATTTATTCATTTATTTTAAAATTCTATAATTTAACCAAAATTTAACTTATAAAAAACAAATATTTATTACATTGATAAAGCTACAAAATAACATACAAAGTAATAGTAGAATTGTAACATGTTGTATTAAGTGCGTTGTATTTTTTCTTAACTTTGTATTATTAATGATATTATTATTTTTTCTTTAATTATATATTATAATTATAAAATTGTAATTTATAAATTATATTTTAATAACTAGTCATTGGTACTTAAATTTTAAGAAGTTTAATCTATATATACATATTAGAAATAAAGTTTAAAAATTATGTTTATTGTTAATGTTTTGTTAATGCAGAAAATAAAGATTATCAAAAAGTAAATGACTATTATGTAAATAAAAAATCTTGACATCAAAATAAGATTGTGAATAGTGTTACTTCAAATTTGAAGGGATACTGTTCATACCGTCATATTTTCTTTCAAAATGAAATATCATTAAAAATGTTTTTTTCTACGTTTTGATGTTTTCTTCTATTCTGAAGTACCAGTACTTTAGTCTTTATATTTATAGGTTAAGTAAGTTTGTAAATGAGAAAAGGGAACTCGGACTAAAGCCTTTGCAGTCTACATTCTACACATTTAATAATTGCCAGTTTCTTACATTATCTTTGTTCGTGTCCAAGTCCACGTTCCAATGAAGTCATTAAAATAGTTATAAATAATCAGTTAAGAGAATTTTCCTTATTTTTTTCTACAAAAAATTGTCTAAAAGAGCTTATAAAAACCCATCACTACATGTTCATTCTTGTATCCATTGTGTATTTCCTCGCTTCCATCATTTATTAAACGCCTCTTCTTCCTCTTTCCATCAAATCTTCTTTCATTCAAACTCTTTTCCACTCTTACCAATCTCTTCTTCCGTTACATGCATACAAAACATGTCCAAACTATCTTTTCCTTTCCATCTTAAATACGAATTGTTGTTGTCAAAAGATCCATTTGAGATTTTTTTCAACTTTTAGCTGAGATCTAGGGTTTATATATTTTCTTCCAAATCTTGCTGTAAATTTGTCAAAATCATGTTTTCATGCTTGCTAGGGTTTTAGATCCATCAATACAAAGCGTACATACACAAACATACATACTTGGATGCTAATACATACATGTAGTTTATACTAAGAGCAACTTCTGTAATCACTACTTTGTCTGTAGGATAATATATCGAGGGAGAGCTTCCTTGAGTCCATTCAGAGGTTGTGATATGATCCAATTAGCTTCCGACTCATCTATCCAAATACCGAGTCACGAAAATCTAAGCTAGACTCGTTAAATGAATGAATGATGCGGTAGACAAATTGGGTCATTGATTCTCTTTGGTTGGACTGAAGGGAGCTCCCTCTTTTTCTGGTATTCTCTTGATCTATCTTAAATTTTCGATCTTTAAAAAAAAAAATGTTAGCATACTTTAAACCTAGCCAACAGGCATAATCATTAGTACGAATATTAAATACCTTGGGGTTATCTTTCAATCGGTCTGCTTGAAGACATGAAGAACATGACTGAGGTGTGGAAATTATAAATCTCTTACTTTCTTCATATTTACAAATCTGGCATCCCCTATAGTCTCTGGTATCTCCTATAGTCTTACTTCATAACTAATTAATTTTCTTTCTAGGTTAACCATAGTCGGCCTAATGATCCCTGGCGAGCATATTAGGTTTTACTTATTTTTCATTAACTACGGCCATTAGTTTTATAGTGATTTATAAATATTTAGTCAAAAAAGGAACAAAATATGTGTCTTACGTACATTTTTATTATTATCTGACACAGGATTCTCAGTTCTCCGAGACTTAGCGGCTGCAATTTACAAAACTTTGTTCATTGTTTAGATGGCTAGGGTTTGGTGTAATTGAATTAAAGGAAAGAAAGAAAGGGAAGCATGAAGACAAACTCTCTTGGGGCTTGAAGAGGTCGTGGTGCTGCAACAAGTTCCCATAATTTTTTTTATTTTTTTACATTTCCCAATTATGGTCCTCTCTCTTCGATGACATTCTTTAGTCGTTTTATATTTGTTCAATTAAAATTTCTTCTGACCAAAGAAGAGAAATAAATTCTCTAATTTTTTGAAATTGCTTCGGTTTTTGCTTTCTTTGCCTTTGGAAGTTGAAATGAACTTATTTCCATTGCGAAATTTATTCTTGTGTACATACTCTAGCTATTCCTTTTGTTTGCTAACATCCTATTAAATTATTGGGAATTTGTAATCAGACCTGAAGATTTCATGTTTGTATAAACTATTTATGCTATAGGAAAAAAGTGTCAGTGGTGTCATGTAAGTCAGTAAGTGTAACAGATGTATTAACATTTTTGCCAATTGCATTCACAATTATTATTACGAGATGTAAGTAGGGGTGGGCACGGATCGGATATCCGGGTTTTCGAAGGTATTTGTGATTTGCTTCGTATGTTACGGATATCTGATTTTGGTATTTGCTTTGCTTCGAAAAAATACGGATATCCGGAAAAACGGATATCCGAAAAATAAATAGATATTTGCGGATATTTACGAATATCTCATCCGTTACAAATAATCTTAAAAAATTGATATAAATTTCTTTTGTAAAATATTTTTTTGCATGATATATAAAATAAAAAGTAAAGAAGCAGTGAATTTACATATTTTATAATTTTTAAGTTTAAGTTAACAATAATAATAACACAAAACTTAATATTTTTTTATAATTTTCATAATTTTCTCTTCGTTTTATCTAATACTTTTATATAAGTAATAATGTGAATATAATTAGTCAAATCATAAGGTATAATAATAATGTTATACATTTAAATTTTAATATAATCTAAATATACATGTATTTATATATTTCCGGATCGGATCGGATATCCGCTTCCCAAAATTTTAATATTTGTGATTTGCTTCGATTTTAACGGATATTGATTTTTAGTATTTGCTTTGATTCGAAAGTTTACGGATATCCGGAATTTTCGGATCGAATCGAGACGAATAACGAATCGAATCAAATTTAACGAATAAAATGCCCAGCCCTAGATGTAAGTGTAACACAATAGTGTTACATTTTCACAATTATCGTTACGAGCTACACTTTCCTATGGTCACGCACATTTTACATCGACGTCTACGTGTCGATGTCTGTCTGAATTTTCTGTCACATTTTTCTTTTTTTTTTTCTTTTTTTTGAACCAGCAATAATTAAATTTTATTACACGAAGTTTTTTTCTTTTTGGGGGCACTGTCATATCTTGTCTTTAGAGAGTTTTTTGTTAAACCTATCAATCCTCTTCTAATATTTTATATTACCACCGTATTGTTGTTTTTTCGCTCTTTACTACAGTTTCTCTATTTTATTTTCCATGATAAACTGTAACTTTATTCCATATTTATTATATAGACAAGTCTGATACGATGTATATTTTTCATTTGTAGATCTTTTTTTGTAACATTTCATTTGTAGATCTGGAAATGATTCTTACATAGTCTGTGGGAAAAAGTAAAAAAATATGTATCTATCTTGTTAATATACCAGTCCTTCCAGATATGGAAATAAAACGAATTAAACATATATTCTTTGGCCTTTCCATTTATGAGTAAACATTAAGAACGACGTCTTAATAGGATGGTGTTATTTAATATTTGATATTTTTTAAAAAGAAAACAAAATATTGTCAAGTTATATTATGTTTTTAAAATAAAAATACAAAAAATAATAATATTAAAAAACGAAAAAAAACTTTTTAAAAAAATATTTAACACTAAAACACTAAACCCTAAACTCTAATCCTAAACCCTAAACCCTAATACTAAACCCTAAACCCTAATCCTAAACCCTTGGGTAAATCATAAACCCTTTGGGAAAATCTTAAAATTAGTACTAACCAATTATACTATTTTTTATTTATTTTTATCTTTTTATTTTAAACACATGTTTTTATTTTGAAGATATATTAAAATATTTTTTTGTTTTAAATTGTTTTTTTGCAATTATTACTGTTTTATTTAATTTTTAGCTTTTATTTTAAAACATAATATAATGTTAAAATATTTTTGTAAATATTTTTTTCGTTTTTGTATATATTAATATTTTATTTATTTTTTTCTATTTTTATTTTAAAAACA